ATTCAGAGAAACATCTGCCTCATTCATTTTTCTACTAATTGCTCCTGGTAGTTGGTTAATCTTTGATTAAGTGAGTGTCTTGAGCTCCTGCTCTGTGGCTGGCACTGAGCAGGAGTCACAGAACACTGGAAAGGCATTGGGGTGGGGGCTGGCCTAAGTCTTCTATTATTTCACGTGGGGGAAGTGGCCTTGTCCTGGTCTGCCAGAGTTATCCACTTTCCCTCCTGTATGAAGCCCTAAGGTGCTCAGTGAGCCCTTCCTTACTTCCCCACCATGTTATGAACTCAAGAAGTCTGCAAGAGAGGGAGAAAGGAGACAGTGCAGGCCTTTGGAGCATAGGATAGGGGAGGAGAGAGCAAGTGAACCGAGGAGAAAAGGCAGCTGCTCTGAAAGCTAAACTCAGCTTGCCTGGGAAAGACTCAACAGCAAGAATCAGCAGCTTGCCCATTTTGCTGGGAAGTCCTAAATGCAAGTTCCAGTTCTGAGTGGGGTACTCAACAGCTTTTTATAGGGAGCACGCATGCCCCCTCATCCTGCACCTGGCCCCCTTCAGCAGACATGATGGGAGATCAGGAATAAAGGAGTACGGGTTGCATATGGCTCCCCTTACCTCTTTGAATCTTATCTGTGTCTTCCATCTTAGGTAATCAACCCAGGGACACATGAGAGGGCAGCTTTAAAAGGCTGTTGACTGAAAGTTCTTTGAGGAAAATGGCATACTTGGCACACGTATGAGGTTGACCTAGAGTCCAAAGTCATTTGGGGTCTGCTAGCTGGATGCTAGCAGAGGGATATGGACAAAGGACATCAAGCAACCATTTGACCATATTCTTGAACCATCCTGGGCAGGTGGACCCTGCCCAGGCCCTAACACCTCGATTCTATTATAGCAATAGATTTGGGTAGTGGCTACAAGAAGTTTGTGAGTTCTATCAAGTTTGGCGTGAGAAAGCATCATTTTCCAAGGTTGTTTCTATTTATTCGAAGGTTGTCTGGTTTACAGAGGATAGAGAAAATTCACCTGGGCAGACACTTCTAATTATGCTTTCACACAGAAAGGAGAGGCAGCAAGACCTGGGACAGGTCCCGGGCTTTGAAAATCACAATATTTTACTACCCACCTCCTTCCACTCCATCCCCAGTCTTACTACCCATACATAAAGGGATGCCATCTACAGGAAGCCCACCATGATGCCACATCATAGGTTTCTAGACCATTTCTGAGGGTCCCTCCACCCCAGAAGACAACGAAAGTACCAAAGATGTGGTCTGCTCTCCTCCAAGGCAGGCCTTTTTAAAAAATCTTTGGTATTGACATTAGCCCCAAGGCGTCTACATAACCTAACTGAAATCCCATCTAGGAGGGAGTCTTGCTGCTGGCTCCACTCCCAGTATATGCCAAGATACCTCCTTTTTAAGAGATCTGCCAGGTACATTTTCAAGACTTTTCTGGGAGATGCTACTCAGACCTTTGGGAGCTTTGAGTTTGGATACATTTAAAGGCAATTTAGATTCACAAAGAAAATAGAAATGGGTCCTAGAAACTTCAGTACATGTGTGTGGTTGTGTGAAGCTGATGACATTTCCAAAGCTATTTATTACCTACAATCTGTCCCCATCCTTCCCAGGCTTTTGACTGTTTGGCCTCTGTGTGAACCCTAGAAGAATGTCAAAAACTGGATGCACTGACTAACTAGAACTGGACCAGTATTGAACACAACAACAGCTAACATTCATTCAGCACTTACAATGTGCTAAATGCTTCACATGTATGAATTCGTTTATTCAAAACTATCCCTTCAGGAAGATGCTATTACTATCATATATTTATGTATTAGGAAAACTGAGGGACAGGAGACTAAGCAAACTGCCAAAGATCACACTGAGAAGTAGCAGAGTTGTAATGCAAGCAGAGACAAATGGACTCTGGGGCCTGAGTTCTTATGACCTCCTGACTCTCACCTATACTGCCCCTGAGCAAGTCTAAGATATGGTTCCTCCTTGGCATAAGACTCTTAGCCTACAAAGATCTCCTCAAAGGGGTTGTAGTGGGTGGGGGTATAGGGGAGAGAATAAAAGGAAAGGAAAGGAAGGGAGAGGAGAGGAGAGGAGAGGAGGGGAGGGGAGGGGAGAGGAAAGGAAAGGAAGTATAGGCAAGTTGTGGCATCTCTCAGTTTAGGTTT